CCAGGAAGCGGCTCAATCACGGTCGCGGTCGTCGAGAAACAATGACGCAGTTGGTACCAAGAAGAATCAGAAGAAGGTCGCTCCTACGATCCACGCAGCGGTTGCTCAGTTGGCAGACGAAGACACAAACAGCAGCATGCAGGGCGACGAGGATGACGCAGACATTGATGCAGACGAGCCGACATATTGCTATTGCAATGGTGTCAGTTACGGTGAGATGGTAGCGTGCGATGCGGATGAATGCCCTCGTGAGTGGTTCCACCTCGAGTGTGTTGGACTCAAGGTCGCACCAGGATCCAAAGGTGAGTTGCCGAGTGCACGTTGTACCGGATGAATAGATTGCTAATGGAGTGTAGCAAAATGGTATTGCGAAGACTGCAAGGAGCGCCTCAAAATGGGAGGCAAGAAGACGAACAGCCGGTAGGTCAGGCGACGCCCAGCACCATGAGTCACGGACAAGTCACGATGGCCTCGTCGAGGGATCGACGATTGGTTCTGGAATGGATTACACAGCCGGTAGAATGGATCCATGTATAGGTACTACAAGCACACAACGGCGTTTCTTTTTTTGGGAGGGAGGCGGACGCGGTCATACAGCACCCGTCTTGATTTGGCATGTTCAGCCGGCCGGGCAGAGGGTTCGGCGGAGTTTCATCTTGTCGACTTTTTCTCTGAATGCGAGGAGGTATGAAGGAGGATGTGTCGATGATTCGTTGTCTGTTCTATAGAAAGCGGCATAGTCAAGGGCGGAGATGCCAATGGTTGATGATGATACACAGACGGGTTTACCGAAATGCGGGGGAAATGAGGAGGGTCCTTACGAGATGAAGGCACCATTGGATCTAGCCAATAGAGGCACGATGTTCGAAATGGTATTAGTGAGGGATGAGAGGCGGAAAGGACGAAAAAACAAAAAGTCACGATGCTCAAATTTGTTGTTGTGTACTGTATTGTGGTGTTGTTGTAGCGGGCCGTCGGAGCTTGACACGAATTCGAGGGAGGGGTCTTGAGTGTCACGAGAACCAAAGCCTGGCCGCTAAGAGCAAAGTGTTAGGTAATGAGACCCGAGCTCTGGGGCTGGGCTTCCGGAGGAGGAGGAGGAGAAAGGGGAAGACGAGAGGCATTGGCCAACGAGACGATGGCGATTCGAAGCTGTGGCAGCGGGAGGTTTGTGCTAAGATTTCTTGGGCTCCGGGAGGGTGCGCGCAGCCGGGATGCGAGAGCTCGGACGGTTTTGTCTCTGGTTCCTGCACTTGGGTTAGGTTGTTGAGAGGGACCCCATGTACATCCGGGCCCTGCGTCTTGTTGAGAATGAGGAGAAACGGGTAACTTGGAGCAGAGAGAACTAAGCTAAGGTTGGAAGCTAAGGTGAGGGACGTTCCAGGACAAGAGGCTAGAAGCAAAAGCATGTCACACGGGGCGGAGAAAGAAAGCTGAACCCCGGAAGTTCGGAGAGGGCGGCGTCAGTGTGAGTGTGCGAGATTCGGGGAGGCGAATGAAAAGTGAAGTGACAAGTCTAGAAAAAGCAGCAGCAAGCAGGCAGCCTATGACGTTTTGGAAAATCCGGGGTAAAAATGGTTCTGGCTCGTTGTTAATGGTCGATGCTTTTTTTCTGCCCTGGCCTGGCCCTTTGGTGATAGGGTCCGGGGGGTGCGGGTTGTTGCACGGCGCTTGCGCGAGGGCCGCGCTCCGGAGCCGCTGGCGCGGAAGCTCACGTTATCACTTCAGGTCTCTCATTAACCTGCTGTGCTGTAGTAAAGCTGGCTGTGCCTGCGGCGTTTGATGCCGGGGGTTCGTCTGGTCTCAACATCGTGGCACCGAGTTTCGCAAAATGATGGCAACGGCCCCCCCCTATTCCAGCCGGGTCACGAAGCCCGTCGAGGTCATGTGGTCACGATGCTCGGCGTCATCAAACCGCCCTGTTGCCCAGGGGGTTAACTTCACGGTGAAGCGACCTAGCGAGCGCTCGCTCATTCTAGCAGATGAGGCGCTGCACATTCCCCCAGCATCACCCAAACAAGCAAACTCGACCCTGCGAATCCAATTTACAGCATCCCGTACACCGTAAGTAGGGAGAAGCCGGGTTTGCTGGTCAACCTAAGCCAGGCACTATATGGGGCACGTGCTGGATGCTGAATCGCATGTTAGATGCGCCGTTTCGGGATGCGAGTCGTACTATGGGATATCGTATGGTAAAGGTCCCAGCTCTCGCAGCATCTCTCTCTCCTTTGACCTGCCTTTGTCTATGCATGATGGCCTTCCGGAGTATTATCGCACAAATACAGGTTTGGGAGGGAGCGGGCAGAATCCTCTCAAAACTCCGCCCATCAGTACAGTAATAAGTGCCGTCTCTCTCGTCTGTGTTAGTGTTAGCGGCGCCCCCGGCGGCCGGCTTTGCTTCGCCTTCTTTTTTTGTTACTAACTATTTACTCCTCGGCGGCTGGAGTCGGTGTCGTTTCGCCGTGTGTGTCGGTCTCGGCCTGGCGTGTTTAAGCTCGAGCTGGCGCTTGCGAAAACTAGGGCCGGACGAAACGGGGTGCCGGTAGCGATATCGCCCACCGGGAGAGCGAGATGACGGGTTGGTGATTGACTCGAAAACAACCCCTTTGGGGAATCTGGGGGTCCTAGCTCTTCAAGGGACCGGCTTCGCTGCCGGTCGTGGAAGGAAGAAAAAAAAAAGAGGGGGCCGTGATTCTCTTTACTCATTTCTCCCGTTGTTCTACTTGTTCTACTGTCCTTCCCGTCATGTCCGGCGGCTAGGACGGAGTTTGTAATGGTGTTGCTCATGGGACTCGGCATTGCGGCGCTGATCATGATCGGGGCGAGTTGAGTAAGCCGGTGAATTCGGCGTGGCTGGAGCGCGGGATGCGATCAAGACGCTCTCTCCTGTATGCAGTTGATTGAGGCATTGCATAAGGTACTGCAGGTTGCTATGCCTCGGCCAGCCGTTATCCGTCATGGTGATTTGGTTCTTGTATAAGCTTTCAGGGCTGCCTCAACTCAACTTTCCAAAAACACAGACACGGTGGTCAATAGAAAGTGACAGCGCTGGCCCCCCGGATGGCCATTGTCGAATGACATGGCTGGAATTATGCCTTGAGCTTGGTACCTGGTCACGAGGATCTCGGCGGATCTGATGAAAAAAAAGAGACCTAGGGCTTGCATCTTGCTTCTCCTCCTCTCACCCCCGCCTCGCCTGGATCAGAGAGATGATGAATGAGGGGCTTCTGAATTTCCATTACTTATTTCCTGCAGCCATTACGTTACGTTACGCTTCTGGCTTCTGCAGCGTGTGTGAGCAGGCAACCAAAATGTCACCAAGGTTGTTCTGTCTCGGTATGAGCTTCCGATGGGGGGAGGTGTCGTTGACAGAGACCCTTGTCGCGTCATCGGCCATCGGCCATTTGACCAGTACAAGACGCAGTTGGCGGGAGCGGAGCGGGAGAGCGCGGCGGAGTGTAGTGTAGTAGTGTTGCACAAGGGGGGGTGAGAATTGTCTAGGTTGTTTGTTATCGTCGTTGCTGTTGTCCTGTGCTGTCCTGCTTCGTATATACGACGACCAGGGAACGAAACCAAAGAGTGAGGCTGATGGTGCAACTGGGGAGAAAAGCACCTGATGCTCAGCGAGATTTGATCGTCTGGGATATTCGCTGCAAGAATGAGGATCCATTGGTTTCCAAGTGCAGAAAACTAGAGACGGGCAATTGTGGGAGGCGACGAGTTTTTTCTCTCTTGGCTTGCCTCGACGTCGTTCCCATTACCAAATCTTGACCTGTCCCGTCCAATGGAGCCTGCCCACCACCTCTTCAAAGGCCGATCCGGCGCCAGCGGGAGTCAGTCGAATATTTTCTTTGTCTGGAAAACTGAGCGGCAACGGCTTTTGGAGACTCCAACTCCACAGCCCAGGCTGGCAGCTCATGGCCTTGTATGGACTTGTATGGCCTGTCTTTTCCATGCCATGAAATAGATCATCATGGGGGGTTCCTTGTCACGGATGGACGTGCTTCTCAAGAACTCGTCCCCGTCTTCTCTCCTCTCACTCCCCCATCGGTTCCAGTTCCAAGCCTCTCCAGCCCTTCCCCGTGGTCGTGGTGTGTTGCTCACCTGACGGTCACGGCCCCGAAAGATCCAGTCCTCGATTTCCATTACCCAATATTGTGCGATCCTGAGCTAATGCCCCGTGCATGCCAACACGCTTTTTCGCCAACGTCCCTGGCAAAATACCCTGGCTACTGGGCGTGGCTGCCCCCCCGGGTGACGCTCCTTTTGTCGGTCGCTCAGGCCCGCCTTTGCTTTGGTGTTTGGACCCTCCAACACCCTAGGTACCCTCGTCATGAGGGCTCCAGCAGAGGCTCCAGAAGGTGACTCTCGCCTCCGCCGGGGGTGGCTCCCCTCGTGGCTCGTGGAGTCGTGGCTCCAGCTCCGCTCCGTGACACTTTATATCCAGCCCCGAGCCCGATGCGCCTGGTCGCCCTCGTCTGTTCCCTTGTTTTCTGTTGTCAAGATTTTTCGACTCTTACAAGCCTAGACCTGGATCCTCATCTTTGAATCTCTCTCAACTACCGATCAACCTCTCCCTCCGATATCGATAAACCCTTTCGTCATCGGCTCCCCCGCCTTGGTCCTCGCCTTTTACTCTTACATAACCGTATAGGCTCCGGATCCGGTGGCTCATACTACGCCACCGCAGTTGCTCAACTATCAGCCTTTTTTATCCTCCGCCAACTTTTTGCCAGCCGTTGGGTTGGCCACCAACCAACTTACTCTCCGTGTGACTCGTTTCGTTTTGCTGGACTCACCATCTTCGCTGAGAACAGGCGAAGCTCTTCGACGAACGCATCCACATTCCTAACCCTCGCTCCCCGTCCTGATTATTTTCCCGCCCTCTTCAGGGTTGGCCATTGCACTCTCCTCTCGTCTTTAGACTTATGGCCGTCCCGCTGAGCCCTACGCACCACGCGGTGCCTCACTTTGACCTTTCTGCCCTCCTCAAAGCAAAGATGTCTCGTCCCGACTCCCCCAACAGCAACAGCGACAAGACGGCTCGCTCGTCCTTCTCCTCCGTGAGGGAGAACGACGACGGCCTCGCGCAGACCTTTACACGGTCCAAGATTTCCTCCTACACTCAAGGGACGGAAGAGGTATTCGATGAATCACCCTCACCCTCCGTTGAGATTGCACAGCCGTCGTTCCAGGCTCCTCTGACGCAGCCTCACAGTCGGCTCCATGGGTTTTGGTTTCCTGCGGATAACTTCCGTGGTTGGAAGCAAATCCCCATCAAGGGCAAGGCCGCCAGCCGTAGCTGCGAGGACCTGCACAAGCTGTCCATGACATGGAGCTCTCCAGCCCCAGCTGCTCCCGTTCAGAAGGTCTCCCACCCTACTTACCAGACCGGAACCTCTCCTCTCGAGCGTCTCCCCAGCGAAGTCCTGGGTAAGTCAACTCAACTACCAGATTTGGGGGTCCTGGGTCCTCGCGCACCCCAGTCCCCTTGTTATTAAAGAGGGCCTACGCACTGACATGTCGATCTTAGGTGCGATTATCGATCTTCTCGTCATCGAGATTCCTCCAAACGGCCTCACACCACGCAATGCCGATTTGATGGCCCTTCTCCTGACCTCGCGATCTATCCACGCCGCGACGCTTAACACTCTCTACCGTCACATCACGATCCCCCACTCGAGAATCTTCCGCAAGTTCCTGGCTACCATCACCGAGTACCCAGCGCTCGCCTCTATCGTGCGGCGGCTTGACTTTAGCCACTTTAACCCTTCCACCATCTTCTCTACTCAGAGCGAGAGAGCCCAGACTCGAAACTTGACTACCGAGACCTTGTTCAAATGTCTGGAGCTAACCCCATATCTGCAGGAGTTCCTGGCCCAGGAGTACATCGATGAGGACTTGGGACCCGAGGTGATCAAGAAGCTGTTCTTTGATATGCCCCGTCTCCGAGCCGTCGATTTCTGTGGCTGCTCCTCTCCCTACTTCAAGAACGCCTTTACGAACCTGGTCCAGTCGCCATCCTGGCCCGATTCTCTGACGCTTACTCGAGTTTCCTTCCACAAGTGCCTGAACTTGCCCGGTTCCGTCTTTGAGGCCATCCTGCCTCGGCTTGAAAAAGCTACGCACCTTGACCTTGCTGGTACTCGAGTGACTGACAAGGCGCTACAGAGTCTGCCTGAGACGGCGAGACTCACCCACCTGAACCTGGCCAAGTGCCGGGAGTTGTCTTCTGAGGTCGTTGTCAAGTTTATTACAACGCACCCTGCTATTATCCAGACGATCACCGTCCTCAGTCTCGCTACGAATGCCAGCAGCCACCTGCTACTCGGCAAGGCTGATGTTGACGCTATCCTACCTCGTCTGCCAACCTCCCTCCGTTCTCTGAGCCTGAAGGGAAGCAGGATGGATCCCTCGCAGATCCCTCTTCTCACTCCACTTGTTCAACACTTGGAGGAGCTTGCCATCGGACGAGGTCTCGATCTCCGAGATATCCACCAGCTTCTTTATCAGGAGGGACAGTGGATCCCCCACTCTCTCCGATACCTTGATGTTTCCGACCTGGATACCATCATCGGAAGTGCTAGTGCGCTGCTGAACCCAGGGTCCGCCCCGCTGCATGTTATCGAACTCGAGGAGCGTGCATACGAACGAGCGGCCAAGGCGAAGAAGAACCTTGAACGGGTGGGGTGGACGCCGAAGGAATTTGGTAGCCGATACTGGCTAGTCCGCATGAACTCGGACGGCACTACCATCGACAACGGCGCCCGGTGGTGGAAGCTGGGCGCTGAGAGCTGGGGTATGAGGAAGATCCCGGTAGCCGAGGCCGACGTCGGAGGCATGTACGGGACTTTCATGTTCGGCCGACGGCTGTAAGCGGCCGCCGAGGCTGATGCGCGGTTCAGCATCACCATTTGGATCTCTACTCTGTTCGATTTGACGGTGTTTTCTGGAACGGATTTGAATGGCTGGGGTTTGGTTGCATCTTGATCAGATATCCGGGGCGTACAGCGTTGAAAATTAGCGGTAAAAGTTGAAGTCATTTTTGTGCGAAAGCGTTTTGACACATGAAGATGACGATAGAAAAAAGCCGCGGATAATTAGATAATGACTTTACGAACTGGTCAATTTGACTTATTTGTTTAGCAGTTGATGTGCATTGAAAGTTGTGTTGAGTGAGTATAGATGTTTCCACACCAATGCTTTTTCGGTCTCGAAAGCTTGCCACAACTGAGGGAACAACTCACCAAATACACTTGTATGATTAGCAGGACTGCAATGTTTCAAGCATATTGAGGCAGAGAAAAAAGGATTAACCTCTCACATCTACTCAAGCATTGCTTCGATTACATGTGTTGAGCTTGCTTCGCTCTGACGGTAACGACAGCAGAGTGCGAATAATGGCCTATATGCAATCAGAAACTCCGGCATAGAAACCACAACGACTATAATTTATCTATGCATATCTGAACACCCCTAGTTGTCCAGCCTATCTCTGATTGCTCTGAAAACAACCTTATCAAAGACCTGGAAAGCTTCGGCCTTATCCAGGGGTGAGTGGCGCAAGCTGGTATGGCAGTGCATGCCACGCAGTGGTGGAGCACACGTGACCTGTAGTCCGGAACAACAAGGCCCCGTGGCAAACCAACGTTGCGACGTAACCGCGCCGAGCGTGCCTTGCTCCTTGACAAGCTCCAACTCAACGACTATCAAAAAGCCTTGGTGCTTCAGCGGCATCACCATGGCTCCCAAACAGGATACCCCGTTCCGCTCGGCGGACATGAGCATGGTCCAGCTCTATGTCTCCAACGAAATTGGCCGCGAGGTCGTTACGGCTCTTGGCGAGCTTGGTCTCTGCCAGTTCCGCGACGTAAGCTTGGAGTCCATCAATTCATCAATCGAGAACATCATCTAACATCTTGATTTCATCCAGCTCAACGAGAATGTCAGTGCCTTTCAGCGCACTTTCACCCAGGAGATCCGACGCCTCGATAATGTTGAACGACAGCTGCGTACGTCATCCCTAGGCATCCACGAAACCTCTCCCTAACAACCTGCAGGATACTTTTACTCTCAGATGGACAAGCTCGGCATTCCCCTTCGAAAGCTCGACCTCGACGTTGAACGACTGGCCTCGCCTTCAACTTCCGAGATCGATGAGCTTTCCGAGCGAAGCCAGAAGCTCGAGCAGCGAGTCTCTGCCTTGAACGAGAGCTACGAGACTCTGAAGAAGCGCGAGGGAGACTTGACTGAGTGGCGCTGGGTTTTGCGCGAAGCCGGCAGCTTCTTCGACCGTGCCCACGGCAATGTCGACGAGATCCGTGCCTCAACCGATAACGATGACGCTCCCCTGCTCTCGGACGTTGAACAACACCAGGGGGCTGCCGACGTTGAGCGATCCTTCTCGGGAATGAACATTGGTTTCGTTGCTGGTGTTATCGCTAGGGACAGAGTTGGTGCCTTTGAGCGTATCCTCTGGCGAACTCTGCGTGGCAATCTGTACATGAACCAGTCTGAGATCCCTGAGCCGCTGATTGACCCCACCAACAACGAGGCCATCAACAAGAACGTCTTTGTCATCTTCGCTCATGGAAAGGAGATCCTTGCCAAGATCCGCAAGATTTCGGAGTCTATGGGCGCCGAGGTCTACAACGTCGATGAGAACAGTGATCTCCGACGTGACCAGATCCACGAGGTCAACAACCGTCTCGAGGATGTCCAGAACGTCCTTCAAAACACCCAGGCTACTCTTCAGGCTGAGCTCAACCAGATCTCTCAGTCTCTCTCAGCCTGGATGGTTCTCGTTGCTAAGGAGAAGGCTGTCTACAGCGCTCTCAACAACTTCTCCTACGACAGTGCTCGCCGGACTCTCATTGCTGAGGCCTGGGTTCCTACAAACGATCTTCCCCTAATCAGGACGACACTGCAAGATGTCACGAACCGAGCTGGTCTCTCGGTTTCGTCTATTATCAACAAGATCCAAACCAACAAGACGCCGCCGACTTACCTGAAGACCAACAAGATCACCGAGGGTTTCCAGACCATTGTCAACGCCTATGGTACTGCCACCTACCAGGAAGTCAACCCGGCCATTCCTGTCTTTGTAACTTTCCCTTTCCTGTTCGCTGTCATGTTTGGTGATTTCGGCCATGCCATCATCATGCTTTCGGCTGCTCTCGCTATGATTTACTGGGAGAAGTCACTCAAGAAGGTCACCTTTGAGCTCTTCGCCATGATCTTCTACGGTCGATACATTGCTCTGGTCATGGCTGTCTTCTCCATCTTCACCGGTCTTATCTACAACGATGCCTTCTCCAAGTCGATGACTCTTTTCGACAGTGCCTGGGAGTTCAAGAAGCCCGAGGGCTACACCAACTCAACTCCCATCACTGCCGTGTTGAACGAGCATGGCCACCGCTACCCCTTCGGTTTGGATTATGCTTGGCATGGCACTGAGAATGATCTTCTCTTCAGCAACAGTTACAAGATGAAGATGAGTATCATTCTCGGTTGGGCGCACATGACGTACTCTCTCTGCTTCGCCTACATCAACGCCCGCCACTTCAAGAAGCCCATTGACATCTGGGGCAACTTTATCCCGGGCATGATTTTCTTCCAGTCCATTTTTGGCTACCTCGTCATCTGCATCGTTTACAAGTGGTCCGTTGATTGGCTTGGAACTGGACGCCAGCCCCCTGGTCTGCTGAACATGCTGATTTACATGTTCTTGCAGCCCGGAACCTTGGATGAGCAGCTGTATCCTGGACAAGCCACCGTGCAGGTTATCCTACTGCTCCTGGCCTTTGCCCAGGTGCCCGTCCTGCTCTTCCTCAAGCCCTTCTACCTTCGATGGGAGCACAACCGAGCACGCGCTAAGGGCTACCGTAGCATAGGAGAGACTTCCCGAATTAGTGCTTTGGATGGCGACGATGATGATGCCCAAGGCAACGGCAACGGCCACGGCAACAGCTTCGATGATGGCGAGGGTGTTGCTATGATCTCCCAGAACATTGATGAGGAGCATGAGGAGTTTGAGTTCAGCGAGGTCATGATTCACCAGGTTATCCACACCATCGGTAAGTTTCTGTTATGAGTAATGCATGTTACGATACTAATCAGCTTGCAGAGTTCTGTCTCAACTGTGTGTCTCACACTGCTTCTTACCTCCGTCTCTGGGCTCTGTCTCTGGCCCATCAGCAGCTGAGCATTGTGCTCTGGAGCATGACCCTTGGCCCCGCTCTGACTACTCCTGGTGTTCTTGGCGTCATCATGATTGTTGTCTGCTTCTTTATGTGGTTCTTCCTGAGTAAGTTGTTCTTATCTTGGTACACTTGCAACATGTTGCTAACTCATCGTCAGCCATTGCTATTCTGGTGTGTATGGAGGGTACTAGTGCCATGTTGCACTCTCTGCGTCTTGCTTGGGTCGAGTCCTTTTCCAAGTTTGCCGAGTTTGCGGGTTGGCCTTTTGCGCCATTCTCGTTCCAGACCCTGCTGGAAGAGTCGGAGGAGTTGAAGGATTACCTGGGATAATATGGGCTGGTTAAGGAATGGTGAACCATTTGTTATAGTAGTAGACTCTTGGTTTTTTTTTTTTGTTATTGTATCATAGGTAACATAGTGCACTGTTAGAAATGCTGGTCTGAGCCTTGTTGTTCGACTAGATAACTGCTAAACCAACGAAACGACCCGTGTCCCTTTTAAATTCTTGAAGCTTGCTACATGACCTGTAGCGATTAAATACACACCCAAGTAGTCATCCCGCAATTTCAACCCCAGAGAGGCGCCGTCACCTCGACGGCCCGCTCGACGACAGCCCTGACTCTGTCGGCAAAGACCTTGTTGTTACACTCGACCTCGAGGTCCTCCAGCCACACTGTGGCGGTCAATCTATCCACCTTGATCGATACTCCGGGCACGGGGATGCCAATCTTGTGCAGTCTCTCAATCTCCTTGCGCTGTCTCTCCTCGAGCTGCGAGTCCTCGTCGCCATCCTCCTCCATGGCGTCCTCGTCCTTGATCCTGCCTTCGGGGGCCTCCTCCTTAGGAGTAGGGGGCAGCTTGGGTGTTGCGACGGGGGCGACGTTGTCCTGGCCAAACTGTGCTTCGAGGAACCACAGCAGACGCTCAAGGCGTTCCTCAGGGGTTGCAGAGTGGTGAGGGTTCGCGGCGGGGAGCTCGTGCGAGTGGGAGTGCTTGGCCGATGAACGCTTGACGGCGGCAGGGGAGCTCTCGACGGAAAAGAGAACGGCCATGACAGAGTCAGCGATGCCGTCGTTGAGCATGTTGCCCTCCCATTCCAGCTCGACTTCGCCGTTTGTGCGGTATCGTACGGAAACGCAACCCATCACCAGATAAGCCGCGACGAGGTTGGCCACCTCTTCATCTGCCTCCTCCTGCTGAGTCTCACCGTCGGTGATTGCAGCATCCCCGTTGGTGCCGTTCTTGGCACGGCGCATCTCTGGCAGCTCCTCAATGGTACCGAACGTGCCCTCAAGAGCCCACTTGACAAGGTCGATACCCGCAGCGCTGAGGGTCAGACGCTGTTTGCAGGTGATGGTAGTGGTGTTGAGACCAGCGTACTCGCGCAGATCCTCGGGCGCCATGAGTGAAAGCTTGAAGTCGTTTTGCACAAGCACTCCAGTGACGAGAGGAGGTGCAGTAGCAGGGTCAAGGTGAATGCTCTGGGGCGGCTGGATGGAGGCGAGCTTGCCGACAACCTTGGCAGTCTTGTCGGCCTTGAAGGGGATGCGAAGTTCTTCGCAGTTGCGGGGAGAGTAGACCTTGACCTTTGCCGTCTTGTTTGCGTTGAGCGAAAGAAGTTTTGACTTGAGACGCATCATGTTGTGCTGTTCGCCATGGACGAGAATCTGTGAT